GATGGTAGATCCCCACCTGGCATAGCATCGCAGGAGTTGTATGAGAGATGGGGATCTATCTTTTCTTTACTCTTCTCTCGTTTCTCTCGTTTTCAATTATGTCCTGGGTCCACAAAACATTGCATTGATACAAAAAGGTACAATAAAATACAAAAACAATATTAATGCACAATATACTGTATTTTCCGGCGTATAAGATGACTTTTTAACCCAGGAAAATCTTCTCAAAAGTCGGGGGTCGTCTTATACGCCGGGTGTCGTCTTATAGGGCGGGTTTCCTATAAGGCGAACTAGGCAGCCGCCTAGGGTGCCATATAGGAGGGGGCGCCCTGCCCCCCCATTGCCGGCCCTTCTAATGCTGCAGCTGCCTGAGCGCTCTATAGAGAGCCTCAGGCAGCTGCAGCACTGCCTCTCTCCTCACCTCCCCTTCCCTGTGTAGCGTGGGTGGCCGAGCTCCTCTTCCTCCTGTCAGTCCGGCCGGGTACCGCGCGGTACAGGAGATTCAGTTACCTGTTCCCGACAGGGGAAGAGGAGCTCGGCCACCCACACTACACAGGGAAGGGGAGGTGAGAAGAACATAGGGAGGGTTGGGGGGAGGGGGGGAGTAAAAAGAACATAGGGAAGGGGTGGGAGTGAAAAGAACATAGGGAGGGAGGGGGGGAGTAAAAAGAACATACGGTGGGAGGGGGAGTAAGAAGGACACGGGGGGGGGAGTAGTAAGAAGGACATTCTGTATAGTGTATGCTCCATGCCACACATCATGAGTGCACTTTCTACAATGCCAACAAGCTGGTATAGTGCTTGCCCCATGCCACCCCAGTCTACGTACAGTTTGCCCCATTTCGCCCAGCCTTGGTAGTGTTTGCCCCATGGGTCCCATAAATTCCCCAAATCCAGGTAGCCGAGTCCAGCCAGGTTTAATATAGTCACAGCAGAATAAAGGGTTAAGGATTGGCAGTATGAGCATATATCACAATTAGTCTCCTGTGTGCTAGACCAGCAGGCATGGATTATATGCCCAAACAGCCTGGTACATACCAGGGCTTTAAATGCTATTTCAGATTATAATTCTTTAATGTCTTGCTGTGTGGCTCTGTCTGCTCACTGTACATCATGGCTAATTTTTATTTGGTGTGCGTTGGAAGAGGGGTAGTCTTATACAGTGAGTATATCCCAAACTCTGTATTTTAACTGGAAAAGTTGGGGGTTGTCTTATACGCCGGAAAATATGGTATACGAAATTTAAAGGACCACTATAGGCACCCAGACCACTTCAACTTAATTGAGAATGCTTTCCTATGGACTGGCTCAATGCGCGCGCAGCTCAATGCGCTCGCGGCTCATGCCACGCATGCGCATCAGCCGATGACGGAAGAAGAGGGAGGAGAGTCCCAGCGCCGAGGGAGCCCAGCGGGGAAAAAAAGGTAAGGGAGTAACCCCTTCCTCCCCCTTCAGCGCCACAAGTATGTTTTCCTGGCACTATAGTGTTCCTTTAACATAGAACAGGTAGGAAATATATAATCAACCATGACACGCGCATTCTGTTTTGAGGTATGTAGAGAGGGATCTCTTAAAGGCTTGAGGAAGATTTTAAAGTGTGCGGGAGGTCGTTCCATAATTGCGGTGCTCTGTAGTAAAAGGAGGACAGGGCTCCTTTTTATTGTATTGAGGTAGACTAAATAAAGTGCTGGTACTGGATCGGAGGTTATAGGAGGTGGGAACGGCCAGGGAGAGCATTCTGCTCAGGTAGGGAGGGAGCTTCCCAGAAAAGCTCTTAAACACAAGGCTGGAAAGATGAAGGGTGCGTCTGGATTCCAGCGACAGCCAATATAGTTATTTTAGCATATCACAATGGTGGGTCCTGTAATTAAATTGTAGCACAAATCAGCAGAACGAGTTATACAATGTATTGAGTTTATTAAGGTGGGTTATACTACATCCCCATAATCAATGATTGGCATCAGCATTTGCTGTACAATCTTTTCCTTTACTGTAGGGCTTAGGCAGAACTTGTTTCTGTACAGGGCACCTAGTTTTGGATAAAGTTTTTCTCTGTGGAGAACAGAAGATAGATTGTGGTCTAATAACATACCCAAGTATTTGAAAGAGTGGACTGAGGTCAGTGTGCTATTTGAATTTGTTTTGATAGATAGATGGGAATTGTGTAATTTGTATAATTTAGGTACTGTTCCAAAGATCATTGTGACAGTTTTGTCAGTGTTTAGAAAGAGTTTGTTTTTTGCGATCCACTTTTCTACCTCTGTAAACTGGTCTTGGAGCACAGCCTCAAGCTGCGGTAGATTGGATTTGCTTGCATAGATTACTGTGTCATCTGCATACATGTGCACATTTGAGGATTTGCAGACATTAGGCAGATCATTTATAAATAATGTGAATAGTAGGGGGGCCGAGAATTGAACCTTGGCATGCAAATTCCAAAGTTGTAGGAGTTCAGACTGAAAGAATTCAACTGCACAGTCTAGATCTGGGATAATGTTTAATCTGTGCCATAGGAGGTTCTTGATGTCATTAAGAAAGGATTCAAGATTTAATTTTGTGAAGGACCTGGTGATTTTAACTGTGGTAGAGGATTTTGTAGCCTTTATTTTGCGCACGCAGTACACTAAACAGTGAGCACTGAAACTGTTATGGAGAACACCTGACTCCTGGATTCTATCAGGAGAAGTGGAGAGAATCCAATCGAGCAGGGCTTTTAATGTTTATGCAAGTTGGGGAGGGGATTAATTGTGTTAGCTGCAAAGACTTAAACAGCAAGCAAGAACTTAATTTTTAGGATTCAGCCAATCAATATTAAAATCTCCAAAGACCAACAGTTCACTTTTTGGGTTTTGAGCTAAGGTTTCACTAAGGAGATGGACTAAGTCAGTTAGGGAAGCTAGGTGGGCAGTAGATTCCTGCAACAATGATTGATTTACTGCACGGGATCTCAATTGTGCCAGAAAGGAAATCAAAGGTGGCAGGAATCTACTGCCCACCTAGCTTCCCTAACTGATAGGGAATAGTTTTGTAAGGGGGTAAACTATATGGAATTGTCAACATAAATAACAATGCCTCCTCCTTTCTTTGCTCTGTCATTTCTAAAACATAAATAACCCTGTATTGCAATGGCAGAGTCTGGTATTTTAGTCATTAACCATGATTCTGAGAGTACAATGATTTTTGGTTTGTAATGGGAACGCCAGGCTTTCAGTGCATCCAGTTTAGGGAGTAAGCTATGGATGTTGCAGTGCACAAAAGAGAGGCCTTTTTTAGTGGTGAGATTAGGACTAGAATTAGCTGGGGGACCAGGGCTAGACTCCACATCATTTGCAAGGGCAAGTAACATAAGGAATAGGAATTTGGACATCATTTTTGTTTGGCCATATAGTGAATGGGATACTTTATAATTTTGTGAGGTGGGGGTAGTAGCAGGGCCAGATTAAGAGCCCAGTGGGCCTGGTGCTGACAATTATGATGGGCCTTATTACAAAATCCTATTAACCAAAAACACTAAAACAGTCCTATCTCCTAAGCGTCATGTATCTGATGAAGATGGTGCTGGAGGGAACTCATAGGATGCAGATATGAGAAAACACATACTCTATGCTAATCTCATGCTTTCATCTTTCAAGTAAACCCATACCCCCTAACAGCAGTGTCCAGTAAAGCAGGAAGTCTATGGACAGGGTAAAAGGGTGGGCCACTGACAAACCCATAACCAGAACTGCCCAAAGGGGTGAACATACACAAAAAGGGGGCATGCCTGTGTCCCCATGTCTCCCAGTTCCTTAGTGTCTGTGTCCCCATGTCTCCCAGTGTCCCCATGTCACTAGGACACTAGGGGACATTGAGAGACATTAGGACACTGGGAGATATGGGGACACTGAGATACTAGGGAACACTGGGAGACCTGGGGACACTGAGACTCTTGGGAAAACTGGGAGACATGGGGGCACTGGGTGACTTTGAGACACAAGGGAACACTGGGAGACATGGGGCACTGAGACACTGTGATATATGTCTGTTCGTCCACCCATTGTAAAGTGCTGCAGAATTTGACGGTGCTCTATAAATATCATAATAATAATAAGAATAATAAATAGGGTACACTGGAGACTTGATAAAGACAAAACGTCAAAACGTTGCGGTGTTCAATAAACCGGCTTAAATCTATCACAGTGAGTACCTGAGCTTTTTTTCTTTTTTACTAGAGGACGCTGACACTTTGGGGCACTGTGAAACATGGGGACACTGGGAGACTAGGGGATTCTGAGAGACTAGGGGATTCTGAGAGACAAGGGACACTGAGACAGTAAGGACACTGAGACACACCAGGGACACTGGGAGACATGGGGCACTGAGACACTCTGATACACAGAGGACACTGTGATACATAGGGACACTGGAGACTTGATGAAGACCTGGGTACAGGTTGAAACGTTGCGGTTTCCAATAAACCTGCTTAATTCTATCACAGTAAGTGCCTGAAATTTTTTCTTTTATACTAGGGGACACTGAGACACTAGGAGATACGGGGACACTGGGAGACATTGGGGCACTGAGATACTGGGAGACTAGGGGACTTTGGAAGAATAGAAAAAAGTGAGACACTAGGGACACTGGCACACTACAGACACTGAGAGACAGTAGGGACACTGGGAGACATGGGGATACTGAGATACTAGGGACACTGGCTGGGAGACATTGAGACACTGGGAGTGCCTCATGTCTCCCAGGTCTCAAAGTCGCCCAGTGACCCCATGTCTCTCAGTGTCCCCTAGTGTCTCAGTGTCCCCATGTCACCCAGTGTCCCTTAGTGCGTGTATCCCCATGTCTCCCAGTGTCCCGATGTCACTAGGACACTACGGGACACTAAGAGACATTGGGATACTTTGAGACATGGGGACATGGGGACACGGAGAGACATGGGGACACGGAGAGACAATTGGGGCACAGACACTAGGGACACTGAGAGACACCAGGGACACATGGGGACACTGAGAGACATGTGGACACTGGGAGACATGGGGACACTGAGACACTAGGGGCAACTGGGAGACATGGGGTCACTGTGCCCATAGTGTCTCAGGGTCCCCATATTCCCCAGTGCCCCAATGTCTCAGTGTCCCCAAGTCTCTCACCGTTCCCATGTCTTGCAGGCTCGGAGCTGCTGTCTGGACTCTCTGTGCAGAGCTGTTCGCCAGTGGATCAGTGAGGAGAGAGGCAGGGAGGGAGATGCTGTAACTTCTTATCCCTGCCTCTCTCCACACAAACAGTGACCCCCTATTGGCCGGCGCTGGTATTGCAGAATAATCTCTGTTTATACTGAGACATTTGTATTGCCGGTATTACTGCAATATCGGCACCGGCTAGGCAGCCTCAAATACTTGAGAAATACTTCTGAAAAATACCTGGCAACCATAAGAAAAACATGAGAAATACCTGGCAAACCAAAGAGTAATATGTAAAAAAAAAAGTTTTTCTTTTTTTTTTAAATCAATGGGCCTATTCCATGGGCCTGGAGCTGCAGCTCCATCAGCCCCTATGTTAATCTGGTGTATGATCATTTGTTTTCCAGTTTGAGGTGTGTGCTTTTGGCGGTAGTGATGTGAACAAAATTGTAGTGAGAAAAGGGTTATTAAGAATAACAGTATTTTCACATTTGGATTCAGGTTAGTGGTATGAGGTGTGTAGATGAAAATGAAACACAAATAGTGAAAAACAAAAATTGATATGTATAGCTATTTGTAGGGAGAGAGGGTATGTATTCTATAGGGTCAAGAGACTGGAAGTGTGCTGATCAGTGTTTGCACCTGTCATTTCAGGAGAATGAAAGTTGTGTGGGAGACTATAAATGAGGAAATGAGCATGGGGTGGGTAGGCATGGGGTAAGGTGGGAGGGGAAACAGTCTTCGAGAAGACTACCTGTTGCAAAAGGCAATGGAACAGCTGATTGAGCTCTGGGTGCTTTGCTGGGCTGGGTAAGTTTTAAAATCAGACTGTGGGAGAGAGATATATATTAGGGTCAAATGGGTTAAGGGATGAGGGAGATGCATCTATGGACATTTGATTTAAGGGTCATTTAAGGAAAAACAAAGGGTAAGATTGAAAATTACAGAGATAAGACCGAGGTATTCATGTAGGGAAATAAAATCATTAAACAAATAACAGGAAAGATATATGGGCCTGAGCTGGTTAAACTAACTTATAACATAATGGACAAGACAAAGGTGATAAAAAAAAACAATGTGCCAGGGATGTGCAAAGTATGATTAGCACAGGCTGTAGTAACAAAGACAAAGAAATAAAAAAATTGAAAATAATGAAATAAAATAAGAATCACAGAATATAAAAACACACACAACAAAAATAACAGGGATTGTAAAAATATAATGAAATGTTGGTCTTCTAGAAGGCTACCTGTTGCAAAGGGCAGTGGGACGGCTGATTGAGCTCTGGGTGCTTTGCTGGGCTGGGTTGGGTAATTCAGGTGGGCTTCACACTGTTACTGCGGGTGGTTCCCTTATTTACCACTATAACGTCTTAAAGCATAGAACTTAGCAGGACTAACCATACAGATATCTTTAGCCATAATATTATATAGTTAGTTAGAGATCCTCTATTTACCATATATAAATAATTGAGAATACAATATAAAATAAGGATTGTCTCAGAAGCAATAACGTTTTTTCTTATAGATATTTTCTTACATAAAAAAATAAATTTAGACATATAAAATCCATTACAATAATTTATAGCAGAGTTTATAAGATTAAACTATATGCTTGCAATATTAAAAATAGAATAACATACCCTCTTGAAAATGTCAACATCACTCAGTCATTTGGTGTCTCTGTCTCCAAATCTCTCCTTTGTGTGTTAACATTTAAAAGGTACACATATTTACACCTTTTTTTCATTTTAGGTTTACCGTAGTTCATATATGAAAAAGTCAAACTACTTTTATTTATTCATTTTAGGACCTCCCTTAACTTGGAAATACTCTGACTTGGGACAAGATAGTGTCTTAAAGTCTGAACATCTTATCTATTGTTTATTTGTCATGGCCCCACATTCTCTCTCTGCACATATATATAGCGATGATCGCTATATATATGTGCAGCCGCGGGCCCCCTACTGCCTGTATTTGCAGGGGGGGGGGGGCAGCAGACTGCAGCTGTACTTTACAGCTCTTCCCTCTCTCTAACTCCCGCGTCAGAGCGTGGCCACGGGTTACCATGGCAACGCTCCGCGAGGCACGCATTCACTACACTGACACACACTCTGCATTCACTACACTAACACTCTGCATTCACTACACTAACACACACTCTGCATTCACTACACTGACACACACTCTGCATTCACTACACTAACACTCTGCATTCACTACACTAACACACACTCTGCATTCACTACACTGACACACACTCTGCATTCATTACACTGACACACACTCTGAATTCATTACACTGGCACACACTCTGCATTCATTACACTAACCCACACTCTGCATTTATTACACTAACACACTCTGCATTCACTAAACTAACACAATCTGCATTCACTACACTAACACACTGCATCCACTACACTGACACACACTCTGCATTCACTACACTGACACACACTCTGCATCCACTACACTGACACACACTCTGCATTCACTATACTAACACACTGCATCCACTACACTAACACACTGCATCCACTATACTAACACACTGCATCCACTACACTGACACACACTCTGTATTCACTACACTAACACACACTCTGCATTCACTACAATAACATACACTATGCATTAACTATGCACACAGCATCCACTACACAAACATCCTGTATTCACAATACACACACTACATCCACCACACATTCAAACACTCTGCATTCACTATACAGAGACACTGTGTCTAATACACACATTACATCCACTACAGACACTGCATCCACTAAACACATTGCATCTAGTACACACAAACACTACATTGACTACACAAACACGCACTACATCACTGTACACACACTACAACCACTACTCAAACACACTCTATCCACTGCTCAAACAGACTCTGCGTTCACTATACACACTGCATACGCTACACAAACACACACTCTGCATTCACTGCACAAACACTACATCCATTACACACATTCTAATTCACTTACACTATACACACCACATTCAGTCCTGCATCATTGTCAGTGGACTAGGTAGGAGTCCTGCGGGCGGACTAGTGGGCAGGCCTGGGGGTGGTGGGGCCCAGACCTTGTGCTTTGTTAGGGGCCCCAAAATTTCTGATGGCAGCCCTGTTTGCCCATACAACACCAAGGCAAGGACCATCCAATCGAAAAGAGTAAGATAAAAACAATAGTGCTCTCTGTATATTCTGGGTTAGAAAAGAGTTGTATATAGGATATAACTCACACTTTATTGAGCAGACACAGTCATCTCTGATACAGGCATAGTTGGTACAATAAAATATAGTGTGGGTATCCAAGAGCTATGAAATGGCAATTAGATATAGGTAATAAAAATTGATGCAAAATGGAATTCAGATAATTAACAATATATAAATAGGCAAGTATAATGTTCAGAGTAATATGTAGGTTATTTGATGATAAAATGTCTACAGTTGAAGAGTCCAGAATAAGATGTAAAACTAAAATTGCAGAATATGGAATATACAATTATTCCTAAGGGATCCATGAGTCCTTGATTTATATCATAAATGACCTTAGCCCTGCTTGTGAAAACAACACAGGGCTTATAGACCCATGGAGAATATCACACCCGGCAGACATAGATTATACCTGCTATACAGCTGCACACAACAGCTATTCTAGAATCGATAGATTCCTCATTAAGACCACATCTCTAACAAGACTAATAAACACAGATATTGGTGTTATCTCCTGGTCGGATCATGCCCCCATCACCCTAACTCTAACTGAGCAATTCCCGTCTACCGGCAGATCAACCTGGAGACTCAATGAATCTCTGCTCAACGACCCAGTAATAATCTCACAGATTACCACAGATCTACAAAACTATTTTACTGAAAACACACGATCAGATACCACGCCAGAATACCTATGGCTAGCCCATAAGGCTGTGATACGGGGCAGCTTCATCAAACACGCAAGCCAAGCAAAAAAAACACGTCAAGCCCAATATGTAAAATTAATAGAAGTGATAACTGCACTTACACATAAAAATAAACAATCTCAAACACCCACTACACAAGCAGCCTTACTAAAAGCCCAGTCACAACTAAGAGACTTTGAACTGGCCAAAACCACTTACTTACTACAAAAATCCAAACACAAATACTTTACTTATGGTAACAAAGCCGGAGCAAAACTGTCTGCACAACTCAAACAAAAATCGGTCGCACCCAGGATTGCCTCCCTTATTGACAACAATGGTTCAAAAATTTTAGATCCGAAACAAATTGTAAACGAATTTGCCAACTATTACCACAAACTGTATAATCTAAAAGAGGACGAAACAGTGCAAATACCCTCCTTGACTACCATTGACGCCTTTCTGGCAAACATTACCTTACCATCACTTACACAAGACGACATCCACAAACTCAAACAACCGATATCCGCCGAAGAATTAGCTAAAGCCATAGCAGACCTACCGATTAACAAAGCACCAGGACCAGATGGTCTTCCGAACAGATATAAAGTATTCTCCCAACACATTACACCACACCTCTTAAACGTATACCAACACTGTAACGACACGGGAACTCTACCTTCAGAAATGCTGTTAGCCCACATCTCCACGCTACCCAAGCCAGGGAAACCCCCGAATATCTGCAAAAACTTTAGGCCAATATCTCTACTAAACAGCGACGCCAAACTATATGCAAAGATACTGAGCAACAGACTAGCCCAGATAATAGCACAACTGATACACAATGATCAATCGGGGTTTGTTGGGGGGAGACAGGGATCGGACAACACCCGGAAAACCCTCAACATATTAACCTCAATTGGTAGGGGGTCGGTCGGGGGCCTCCTCCTAGCACTAGATGCGGAGAAGGCCTTCGACTGACTCAACTGGACGTACATGCGACAAGTGCTCTCCAAATATGGATTCCCTGCTGAATTCATCAAAGGAATCATGGCACTCTACGCAT